CTACATATAACGACTCCCTAATTTGTATTTAAAAATATAAAATGTATATCCTCAGCCTATCCAATCCTAACTGTCTTTATTACTACATCTTTAGGCTAAGTCTAAACATTAACTTAACTACATATAACGACTCCCTAATTTGTATTTAAAAATATAAAATGTATATCCTCAGCCTATCTAATCCTAACTGTCTTTATTACTACATCTTTAGGCTAAGTCTAAACATTAACATGGCACTAACATTACTGATCTCAGAATACTGCAATACACTCCTAGTCACTTTCCAGCTTCCAGTCTTACATACACCTTCACCCCACTGCACAGCAGCCAGAATTATCTTTTTAGGTATCACGCCTCTGCTCAATATCCTTCAATAGCTTCCCCCTAGATCTTCACACGCAGGCCTTTAAAATTTTTTCATATCTCAACTCAAATGTCATCTTCTCAGAGATGCCCTCTCTGATCACTATTCCTAAAGTAGCCACCCCTATTCTCCCTCTAGCTATCTTACTACCCTGCTTTATTTCTTCATAATTATCACCCACTACAATTATCCTCTTTATCTATATATGTTCTTATCTCACTCCCCACAACCACACTAAGACCCTCTCTGTGTTATTCAGCACTCTGTTCCCTCCAACGCAAAGGACAAAACTGGAACATAGTAGATCCTGAATCAATACACATTAAAAACAAAAACAAAATTCTTATCGCAGATGCTACTAAACAAGTAGCACTGTAGAAGTTTCTTGGAGCTGTACTTCTTTTCTTCTCTGATTGTATTATGAACTGCTTTACAGACTGAACTGAAAAACATGGATTTTAGATCATATAGTGCCTTATAAAGATACAAAGCAGTAAAATTATTCAAGCTATTCAGCTTTTGTGATTAAGCAATTTGGTAGCTTTAAAATAAGACTGACTGTTGTACCTTACAAGCTAAGTTCTTTGACACAAAATGTACATAGATACGGCACGGAGACTTACTCTAAATGTGTCCAGAAACACAAGATAGCCTTCAAGGGAAGAGATATAGAACTTTCTCCACCTATGCTATGAAAGATAGGGGCTCCTAGCTTTGCCATTTGAATTAAAATATACTAGGGGAGATAAATTTTAAGAAAAAATTAACTAAACATGTGGATGTGTGTGTTTCTTGCATTTTTACAAGAAAAAATACACAGAAAATATAAAATCAAATACTTAGAAGAATATGACTTCCAAGAACTAACACTTTCTTACATAGGACAGCAGAAATGTTTGAGCCACATAACCAATATCATGAACAAGCTCCCAATGTCACTTCCTATTTGGTTTGGCTTTCAGAGTTTTACCTTCCCCCTCTCATTTGCCATTTCTGGTAACCAATCTGGCCCCTATGCCCTCTGAGTGAGTGACTGCACCAGTGCCAGGGCCCTCCACTTGCATTTGATAACTGTAGAGAAATTGATTATAATCCTGCTTATTAGACAGATAATCTAAAGTTGTCAAGTTTTTAAAGATAACTGCCTAGGACTTTTTAAAAGAGATACCTTAACTGTTTGGTTAGCAACATATAATGCACATTTTGTTTTTATGAGGCCTGTTTTACAGCCACTGATTATCTAGACACTTAAATGATTAATGAAGAAATCCCATCTCTTGTTTTATTCAAATATTTATTGAGTAACTCCTGTGTGCTAAATAATGGTACTCTGCTTTCTGAAACTATATACTAGAGAAATCAAGCACTACCACCTGATACCTTGGAGAGTAGCTTCCCTATAAAATGGATTATTCTCGAGTTAACTGGATAACTCAAGCTCACCAAAATGATCCCATAGCTCCCACCCCACACCCCACTACCACTGACAGTGATCTATGGTTTTGTTGTACTCTGAACCCATAATTCCTCTTAATTATTTTCATTTTAAAATAGAAAATTTCATCTGTTAAATATGTCATGTAACCTTAATAGCAGTCCATGTCATCTGATTATTCAGTGTTTGGAACATGGAAAGAGATGAATGGCAGACAGCAGAGACCTTGACATTGTAACAGATTTAGCAGGAATTTAGAAGGAGGTGAACTAGGAATGGAGCGTACAGGCAAAGTTGCAGAAGAATTTGGAAGAAGCCACTAGAAATAACCATGACTTGGCACATACCTGGCTAATCTCAGGTCCCAGTGATTAAATTAAATTTACTAACATTTATGTGATGGTTTGCAGCTTAAGGTGTAAACCTATCTAACTTCCTGCTATTACTACATATACTCATTAATCTATTTCAATCCCCCAAATTATCTCCATTTTACAGAACAGGAAACTGACGGGGAAGATGTTTAAAGTAATTTCCCTACTATTACAGTATATTGTTAGCTAGAAATCACCCTAGTATCTTCTGACACAAATTCTACATACTTCCCACTATATCACTCAGAAAGATGACATCCAATATATAAAAGTTATGGACATTAACTATATGCTAAATAAGAGGATACTGTTTGACATGGTAAATACTGAGTAGATTGAGAGAAGAGTATGTTTGCAAACCTGAATAGCTTAAAGAGACATAAGGAGGATAAAAATAATACCTGTCATTTAAAAAGTAATTTGGTTAAGAAGGGATTCAAATGCATAAAGCAAGAGATAAATTTTTCTAGCACTACCAGAATAATGACCATACAATATAACACTAATCAGATGCATATGACTTTAAATAATTGCGTGAAATTGATAAAACTAATTAAATGTTATTTTAAAGTTATCAATATTATAAAATAATTTATTTTGAAAAAGAGAACATAGAAATCTGTATTTTAAGAATAGAAAATAATCCTTACCATCAAAATTTGCTCAAAAAAACTTTGTTATTACCACAAGCAGAAGGCTGCTTTATGGATTTTCTATTTACTAAAATCACAAAAAGGTAATTTGTAAATAGTTCTACATACGTTCTTTTGACATCTTGTTCAATCATTGATCGAAGTTCTTTATCTTGGAAGAATTTATTCCAAAGACTCTGAAATAAGGAGAACAACATATTTAAAATGATCTTGCACCTTTACTTGACTTTTATAATTTCAATTTAATAATCTGAATGATTGAATTTATTCTTCTCTGAATTATTATTTCACATTGCAGACAGGAGACCTGAAGTTGGGATAATTTTTATTAAAATCAAGTTTAATCTCTACTTTAATCTCAGAAACACATCCTTATTCTAATATTAATTTTTCTAGTTTGATATTATTGTATATATTTTTTAAATTTCTACATCTATATAAAGTGAATGATACTTTTCATTGCTATACACTCACTACTACCCCTATAACAACAAAAGGTGCTTGGATTAGAGCAGGATCCATCGCCAACTGGTCCCAGCTTGAATATGACCTGAATTCCCAATGCACTAAAAAAGATATGCAATGTTTTCCACAAAGCTTGGTTTTATAATCCAATAGGTTTCTATGTATGTTTTAAAATGTGGATTTAGGAACATTTTTAAGCTTAATTGATATTTTATGTTGCTATACCAAAGACTATATGATACTAATTATATGTATCAAAAAAAGAAATGCTCATGTTATGTATTAAATGGGAAAAAAACCTCATGTTCTCAGGTAAGCCGAAATTAGAGCATCAACAATTAAAGAAGTTATATAATATCTTTAAAGTAGTCTTCACCAGAATGTGAGCAGAGGTAGGACTGATCTTTTTCCTGATCTTTTTAAAAATTCTTCGCAGACTTGCTACAAATAGTTACTTCTTCCTTCTTAGGAATTAGTCCTACCAAGTGAACCCTTCTCTACTTTTATCATGAAGGGAAGCTTTCCTTAGCTGTCCCATTCCCAACTGCAACCTTTACCAGACAGTTCAGTTCATTTTTATGCTCTTCTATTTTACCCTTAGTTCTTAAAGACCTCTGGGACTTCTTGTAGGGCTATTCTAAAGAAGTAGATCATAAACTTCCTACAACACAGTATGTATATAGCACTGAATAACTTCCATTAGGTTTTGGGTAGTATAGTATGTGAAATTAAAGAAATAATGGGCATGAAATACATTGCTTTCATGGTGATTGATAACCAGGCACATAAGCATATTCTTAAGGGCAAAAGGGGTGGAGATATAAATAAAGATGAACTTTACCCCTTCATCCTGTGAAAGGGGATTATTGATCATCAAATCTTGCTGGCCAACAACCTTCCTTGGGTTTGTGATATGCTGGTAAAAAAAGAAAGCACACACACACACACAAAGATCAGAGGCTATTGGACTTTAAAGTATACATAAGCAAACAATTATATTAATTAAATTCATTATTTACTTACTATTTCTTTAATGTTGCTATACCATGCTCTCGATTCTTTAATTCTACTTATCCATTGACTTTTATCTTGAGGAAGAACACAAAGAAATAGCTGTCAAGGAAAAGAGGAAACTTTTGTAAAAATCATAATAAATGTGAAACCATGCCAAACAAAATCACCTGAAAATTGAAAGACATATTATATTCATGAAATTTCACATCCATGATAGTTCATATTCATATCATCATTCCAGTTCCTGATAATTTATATTTGGGGATATTTAGGAAATATATAATTAGAAAATTCAAAAAGTGAATAATCAAAGGCCAAACAACAAGACCCGAGCAGCCACACCACAAAATGAAATCAAGTTCCTCTCCAAATTTATATTAGAAATGAAGAAAAATTAATCAAGGTTAGTATAATTCCCATTTTACATTTTAATTTTAATGGGAATGGTAGGGGGTTATTAATAAGCACGAGGTCCAATTAGCAACTTCTAGTTTTAAGGTTTTGTCTTAAAACAAGCAAGTAAAGGAGAGAGAAGAATAATCTGAGGATCAAGGATATAGTCTGAGAGGCAAAGTCATTCCGTTTACAGCAAAAAAAAAAAAAATGTAATTTACAACTGGCAATCAGCTTATGAAAATAACAGCCATTCTAAAAATACAAATTTGATTTAATTTAGTTTAATACAACATTAAAATAAATCTGGATTTAGGTTTATTTTTAGCAAATAAAGGATACTAAAAGTTAAACAACAGGGAATGGGGGTGGGGCACAAATATTTGTATACAAATATCCTAGCAGCAGGTCTCCTGCCTTTACTGCCTGCATCTAACAGAAGAAAAATGTATTTTAATTATTAAATCTAAATTATTAAATCTAAAACTGTCTAATATATCATGTGTTTCTTACTGCCTTTACTTTCACAGATTTTGCTCCATTTATGCAGATAACCCTAAAAACTATCGATAGAAGTCATTTCAGAATAAGTCTAAATCTAAATTAATTTATTTTTGGAGAACAAAAAGCGACAATATTTCAAAACAATTAAAAAGATAACTGCAGCTTTTTACTACTAGTTTTGGTAACCAGTGGCCCTTTCTCTCCAAAGGAGACTGACCCAATTTCCTTCCACTTCTTGCTGCCTTTCACTTTGTTTCAAGTAAAAGCAATGATGACTAAATGAAGGCACTTGATATAATAGGAAGCTGAAAGTTACCTCCCACCCGCCACAAGATTTTCTGCAAAAGCCTCTGGAGAACTGAGGAATGTAAAGATGTTGCTCTGAATTTTGCACCATTAAAAGAGATGAAAAGACAGTTCTCTCAAAGTCCTTTGCCATTATCAGTTACTCAGGACTAAGATGGCTTAACCTTATTAGCAAATGTCCTATGAAAGATAAACATGGATGGCCAAAAAATTGGGAGTGAAGTCTCTTGGAAAATTCAGTGATCCCTGCATGGGTAATCTTCCAGGGCATCAGGTAATGTGTTGATATATTGCAACCACAAACTGTAAATAAATATTTTCTTCTTACCTTCCAGCAAATGCTGCGGAACCTGCTGCTTCTCAGCTGCCCATTAATCCCCTTCTGCCTTATTGTTGCCAAGTAATTGTTGTTTACAAATAGTTCTTCCCATTCTTTCCTACATGAAAGAAACCAAAGCATGGAAATCCTTTTGTTAAAATTCTTCTGCTTAGAGAGGAGTGCTACAAGAAATTAATTTTGAATAAGTCTAAGAAATGCAACTTTTACAACATATATATTTAGTTGTGTACTGTTCTGAACACATGGCTGTCTTTTTGGACACGGTTCTTCTGTAGATTTAATGAATATGTAGATAGCTATAATTATGCCAGCTACTGAAATTCATAATGTCTATGGAGGCTATTCCATTTCCTCTAAAATGTTGGTAGTACAGTTCAGTGAATAAACAAAAAAAATGAATATTAATATAAATATATGACTGCTGTAGCCATTGAAAACTACATACCTGCTCCAAAAAATATACAACAAAAAAGTGTACTGTTGATTATACTCGCTTCTGACATGAAATATCCATTTGAATGAACCTACTTCTCTTTTATGTCAGGCTGGGCAGTTAAGTATTAATAGAAGACTACTTTCTTTAACTGTTAGTGCTATTTACTATTGAAATCTCTGCAACTACTTTCTACATGATCAGTTTTAAAATTTTAACAGGTGCGAGCAAATTTGAAAAAAAATCAAAAAATTAAAAAGCCTCACTGTAAAAACTGTTAAAGGCAAGCTTGAGTACCTTGCAGTACCTATGGCTGAGTAGATAAACAACTGAAATATGCCTCCCAGGCATGCAGACACCAGGGGCCTAACACCTGTGCCTCATTAATATACAAGTAAATCTGCTCTACTGGGAAACAATTGGAAATTAATTGTCCCAAACCATTTACTGAGCTTGAATAAGGGAATTAGACCCACATTCCCTGCATCTAGCAACAAACTAAACAGTAAAAATCATTTGTCAACAGTTGAGGCTACTGATATCAGCTTTATAAAATTTCTCTCAAAATCCACCATGCCACAATAAAATATAATTATAATTTAAAATTTATTATCAAAGCTGAAACTCTGATGGCAATCTCTTGAGAGACTTCCTAAAAAGAAAGCCACTAAAACCCTCAATCATCCTTTTACACAAGCAGTTGTCACTGGCCAGATCCAACTCATTTTGAGAAAGGACCATCTTGCATACTATGCTTAGAGCCATGAATGTAACCAGCTTTACCTTTAAACTTCAAAAACCTAACCGCAGGGCAAGATGCATCTTCTGCACAGAGTTCCAGAAGAGTGACCAAAGCACATTCCTTACTGCCATACGAACTTCCAGCCTTAACCCCGTAGCACTGATCCCCCATCACACTAAGCCTTCTGCCAATAGGGGCTTATTGGCTTATGCCAAATGGGACACACATTCCAATCCCATGCTGGAAGAAATACATTTCTGCCACCATTCCATGAAAATTTCATAGTCTCATCACTTTATTAGTAAGAAAAAATGTTTTGTTTTTATCTTGATTTGCATTGGTATTATTAGTGAAACTGAAGTTTTCATGCTTTTGGGTCATTTTATTCTTTTTAAAACTTCCTTTCTTGTCCTTTATCTGCTTTATTTTAAGCAGAAACAGGATAGTGGTTAAGAGCACGGACATCAGAACCCACATTCCTGGGATCAAAAAGACAGCCATTCAGTTGGAGACAGTACACAATTTTCTACCTACTTACTAGCTATGTAAGCAGGACAAGTAACTTAACCTCCCTGTGCCTTAATTTCCTCACCTGAGAAATGAAATGATAATATCATAATATATCACAGAATTGTTAATAATTATCATACTGCTTTTATTTTAGTGTGCTTTATTATTGATCCGAGAGGATTTTTCATACATTAAAGACATCATCTCTATGTCAGCCACATATTTTTTAACCCAACTTTCTTGATTTCAACACAATGAAGCTTTTTAATTTACGTATGACTTAAATCTAGCATCATTTTCCCTTGGTGCTCTTTACATTGTTTTCTTGCTTAAGTAATTCTTAGCCATTGTAAGACATAAGAAATATTCACTGAAATCTTGATTGTTTCTTTTTACCACTTTAATCCATTTGTATCTCAATATTTTAAATATTTTATACTTCCAATTTCACACATATACCCATATCTCATATTGTTCAAGTTTTGTTTTCAATAATATTCAAAGATGACATCAGCAATGAGGGCATAAGTACACTACAGGAGTACATCTGAGAACCTGTATATTTAAATAGTTTGTGGTCCGTGAACAAAAAAGCACAAACTGCAAATGTATTTTGAACCCAAAAGAAATCGTAATTTGTGAGACACCATGCAGTTCCATGGCCTGCAAACACCAATAATTCTGGAAAAGAGAGGGAAGTACGAAGCAATGACTCCTCCAGTCTTCCAAATTCAGCTCCTATTCATAGGTACCAAGAAATTATGAAAGTACAGGCACAGCTGGTGGCTAGATTCACTGCCATCTTGTCAAGTTAAGCAGATTTTTAAGGTCAAGTTACATTCTACTTATGTAATGAAGGATAATTATTTGTTAGCTTAAATAAGACCCTGTACCTTGATTACAGTGTTGGTACAGAGAAAAGGAGACTGAGGCATGTGAATTGGAAACATTATCTCTGAAATTTACAATCATTTAAATTTATTCATGGGTACTTACAGTCCTAATTAAGGCATAACATCTCTAACTGATGAAGAGCTCTAACAACAGAGGAGCATAAAGGCCACAAGATAATCTATTAATTGTCTTTCTCTTCTATGGAACAGCGTTTCATCAATAAACTGTGACACAGGGTAAACATATAAACATTTATTAGGTGCCTACTATGTGCTTAGCACTTACAGAAGTACTTTTTAAAAAGCATGAAATTAAGCAAGTGAACAGATGGATGTGTAAACCAATAATAACATTATTAATGGAATGCCCTCTGGTAGTACAGAGCAAGAAATATTTTTATACTTAAAAATTAAAACTCAGGATATAAAATAATACTAGCACCATAGGTACTGAAATACTACTTCCAAGAATTGAGCTATCTGAAGTTAAACAGACCCCAGGCGGCAAAATGTTAAAAGGATTCACCCTTCTAAGGGAGTTGGAGCAAAATGAAAGTTTTTTACAATCACAAATATAAATGGTAGATCTGCTCCTGAACTGGGAGGAAGACATGGGAAAAGAATTGGGAATACTTGAAGAGTCAGTGGTAGAACTTTTCAGTTTAATTAACAAAAATATAGGAAAGGATATAAATGGTAGATCTGCTCCTGAACTGGGAGGAAGACATGGGAAAAGAATTGGGAATACTGAAGAGTCAGTGGTAGAACTTTTCAGTTTAATTAACAAAAATATAGGAAAGACAGTTGCTAAACTTTGTCTTCTATATAAAAATACATACATATAGCATGCCTGAATAGCAAAAATCTGACAATGGTGCCATTAAAGTGCCATAAAAATCCATTTATAATATAACTCTCTTTCAGGTGTGTGTTATTAACCCCTATTTATGAACAAGGAAACTAAGATTCAGAAAAATTAAATAACTTGTCAAGAGGAGAAAGGTATAAAAATTAGGAAATGCATCTTCCTGGAATAACAAAGAAGACAAGTCACTCCTGAAGGGGAACATGATACTCCAGACACCAAGGGCAAAAATGGCCTCTGGCAACAAAGCAAGATAGAAATGTGCCCCTGTGTTTTCCTCCTCAGATTTTTAGTTTTTTTAAGAATTCCAAGGACACAGAGATAAATTTTCACCAGGTGGCCTGAGAAGATACATGAACAACAGCTGCTGTGAGTAATTAAGAGCAACCCAGAACGTTTAGGTGTGTAAAAGCTTTAAATGAAATAGATTAGAGACCTGGGCTTACGGATTCCCATAACAAAGCACTAGTGACATCTAGTGGCAATTACTCTACCTTGCAGGCACTGGGTCCCTGAAAACAATCAGCATCTCAGATTTCATTTCTCATGCCAATTTTAATAAATTAGTAATGGCTGCACTGGAAGCACTGTGTTAAGGACTCTGAGCCTATCTCTTTGCTTCTCAGAAAAGAACAACTTTGATTTAAAAAGTTGGCCATTAGTGTGCAATCATTTCTCAAAAAATGAAATCAAATTTGCAGCAGTAATTGATACCTCCCCTCTGAGAAGAACTATTTAGGTAGTTAAGCCTCCCGCAATGGTTTTTGTTGACATGGAAATCAATTAGAATATGCATGCAATAAATATAGCAGATGATTATAAAGTTATATATTTTAATGTAGTATTTTCCCAAAATATGCACATAAAATTGGTATGAAACTAGTTAGTACTTTCTAAATATAATTGTTTAAATACTTTTGTAACCTAAATGATGCATAAATGACTAAATTATGTGCTAATTTAGGTCTAGAAAATTTCTGAATCATTATCCCAAATGGTGATACTGTATAGAAAACTAATATAGAAAACTGTATAGAAAACACTAACTTTATATGATGGTTTCCACCCCATTTTCAGGCATTATTCAGACAGGGGAAAATGTCTCTATGGGGCTAACTTAAGAAACCCAAACAACTACAGTAATGGTACAAAGTCTGGAGCCTACATATAATCTAGTACTACAGATCTCCAATACTTGGTTAAGAAGAGGTACTCTGGCTTTTACTGATAATGAAATAACTGAATGGAAAAGAGAAGGGATGATCACCATGGGAAAGCTCAACAAGTCACAGAGTAAAAGACAGAGGGAGAGGACTTGCTTCTAGATGCCTGGGAGGTGTGGTGAGAGGGGAGTGTCGTAGAAGGAGCCCTCAGAGATGACCATGTAGTTTACAAGGTTGGCCAGCCAGCCATGATCATCTCATTGAGATTTGACTAGAGAGACAGGAGAACAAAAAGGCCAAGGAAAGATAACCTTTAAACAGAATTAGATCAGAAGTAGAGGAACAGAATATCCAAAGCTAAGGAAGCACAAAGTAAGAAAGCTGAACTTAATACAAAAACTTCATACAATTTTATAATCCTAAAGTGCATGTTGATATTTGAAAAATTGCCATACTAGTTATGATCACATTCGTTTTATCGTATGCAAAAAAAGGAGATAATCAATTCTCTAATGTTTCTAATCTGCAGAGAAATACATTAGTGAAAGATTTCTAACAATGAAAGGACTATACCATATTCCAATATTCCATGTAAAAGAATATATACTTAGATACCATTTTAAAGGTATGGTTTTGAAAATACTATTCAAATAGAACAAGGAATATCTAACTTAAAATCAATGGAAATATGAGAAGTGTAAATTAGGTATGTCAGCATCAGACTGTAAAGCATGATACCAGATATGGGTAAGCTATAACATTAGGACTGCAGGTGCCAAGATCAACCAGATAAACACTGATGTTATCTATAATTACCTCATTTTTAGCTTAAATCACAGGTAATGAGGGAACTCAGAGTCTCTAAAAGGCAATTAGAAACTGTACTGACTTTTATGCTTCCTGTATCAGGAATTTTAAAAAACTTACTTTTATTTAAAGCTTTTTTTTTCCCCTCCATAATGAAACTTCAGGGCATATCACTCATACATATAAAAATACATATAAAAACAGACTGCACAATTACCCGCAAGCTTAAAATGAATTTCTTCAATATGTCTAGGTAAATTATGTTCTCATGTGATGAGGCTCCATTTAAACAAAGGCTTAGAATAGTTCACTGCATGGAGGTTTTTAAAAATTAATTTAAGATAGTGTTTTGATTCAGGTTTGAATTGAACTTTGAACTGAGAAACGTTGAGCCTCTACCTCAACATCCAGAAAGACACAAAGAACTTAGTTAAAAACAGTTATCAACTGTCAGATATGGGTGACAGTTGATAACTTTTTAAAAAAATCATATATTATTTTCTTCAAAATATATACGTAGTGTAGAAGAACCTCTAAATTCAGGTCATATTAAAGCAGGTAAACTCAACAATCATACTTTTAGAAAAGAAATCAATAAAAGTTGTATCACGAGCTTTTAATTTTATTCCTTAAATTTTGTAAAAAATTTAATACATAATAAAGGTCATTCTATTGTGAGGATCAGCATTTAGAAATGATGTGAGGAAAGGATCCTGTACTAGATAATCTCTGTGAAGTTCTCTGGAGTAAATACATTTTATATTCCATGGTTTACTGATGTTTCTTCTATAATTAATAAGAAAGGAAAAATCTCCTTGAGACGTCTCCCCTGTAGACCTCCCCCCCACCTCGTTCCCACCCCCACCCCACCTCATTTACCTTGATATTTGTATAACTGGAATGGGCTTGATATCTAACTTTCCATAACATGGT